ATTTCAAAGTCAAAGGATTGTCTTTATCTTGTTTTTTAAAAATTGCTGCATTTAAAATTTGGGTGTTTCTAATGCCGTTGATTAACTGCACAGCATCAGTAGTAAATGCACTCAGAGTTGGCAATTTTTTTAAGTCGGAAAAAATTAAATTTATAGAGTGTGCAATACAGCCATATGTGTACAAATTTGTATCACAGTATTTTTGACCTAGTAGCTCCCATGCCGCTTTCATGTTGGCTGCGTTATCAGTGATGATTCCAAATACTTTGTTAGGACCCAACTCCTCTATCACCTCGCCCAGGACTTTTGCAAAATACTCAGCTGTATGCCTCTCTGTACTCGTTTCAAGAACCTTAAATAGAAGCGGTTTTGGGGTTGCTACAACGACATTGACAATAGCATCTCTGCGTATATTGCTCCATCCATCAGCAATTATTGTAAGTGATTTCGCGACAGCTGTAAAAAATAAAATGTAAGCCATGTTTTTTACTAAATTATTAAAAATATAATGCATCTATACAAAACGTACATTAATATCTTACCAATTGTTTCGATGACTTTTGTTCGCATATCTTTGTATTCTTTTTCCAGCAAAGGGTTTGAAACCATATGTCTAGACGGTACACTATACGCTGGTCTAATAAATTTCATAAAATCTAGCCATGCTGGATTTTCAACCATGGATAACGGAGCACCACTTGTATATATGGCTCGGCACAACAATTCATCTGCCTTCTCCTGATCGCTAGGGCCCATGCTGTCCAAAAAACTTTTAACACTGTGTTGAGCTAAAGACCGGGCAGGTGACGAAGTTGTTCCCTCCGCTTTTGATTTTCCTACAAAATAAAAAAATATTGCGTTTGGCATTTTTATCAAAAATTACCGGTAATAAATTGGCCCATTCAAAAATAATTTTTGAACACTTTTTTTTAATTGAAACTCATAGGAAAGGGAGCCGCGGCAGACTTTCATAAATAATTTAGACATAAAAAATGTATTTTTACAAAATTTAATAATATGCGAAATGGAAAGAGAATTTTTAACTATATAACTTTTAAATATAAGAATATATATATATATATACAGTGAGTCCACAGATGGAGTTGACGAAGGGGAAAAATCTTTATTTTAAATTTTACGATTAAAAGTTATTTAGAATAACTTATTCCTTAGAATAACTTATTCTTCATGAACAATTGTAATAATGATTGTAAAAAAATGGGTTTACCATAAAAAATTCAGATCAGATATACAGGGTGTTAATTAATTGGAAAAACATAAAATGCTCTTAGAAGCAGAATTATTTATTCTTTTGGAAAACATTTATAAAAAAATATTGTCAACAAAATCTTGAGGCATTATAATAATTTTCTAATTTATTAAAAATGTATATTTGATCTGAATTATTTATGGTAAACCTATTTTTTGACACTATTTGTTATAAATTTTGTCAAAAAAAAAATAATCATATTTTTTTCTTAAAACCATTTTTATGCATTTCCCACTTTAACAAGCATAATGTTCTATAAAGCATGACTTTTTGTCGAAAATTTAAAAATAAAGATTTTTGTTGTTAACTCCCTCCTTGGACACACTGTATATTAGATATTCAGCAATTATTTTGCATCTGGTAAGTAATTTATTTTTACGACACTAGAAATAATGCAAAAATACTAGTAAAACCAAAATGTTCCAAGACCATTATTTATTTCTGGTGTTAAAACTTTATAAATAATTAACACGAAATATAAAAGAAATTAACGATTTTAATTAGGTACTACAAAAGCAATAAATAAATTCAAATAGTACAAAAGTTTAAAATTAATTAGTATACCTACCTAATTAACTTAGCTTGATTAAAATAAAGTAAAAATATATATTTGTCAAAAACATGTTGAAATATGCTGCATATTATATGGCTCCCATCTCCCCATTACTTTACCAAATTTTACGATATCCCCTTTTAATATTTTAAATACTCACCCTGTATACTATTATTGTTATTTAAATATTACTTATTTAAAATTTAAATTTTACTTACCCTCAGTTTCGGAATTAGTTTTTCCAAAAAAGTTTTCTAATTTACGAAGAGGCGATATTTTTTTTGGAAAATATTTTTCTTTAATATCAGCTGGGCATCTTAAACACTTCTTCTGTATGTGCTCAACCATTCTGGTCCCATTTTTTGATAACTGAAGAGAGCAAAATTGGCACTCAACGCGAGGGGTGCCATTTCTGTTGCCCACATCATTAAATAAACGAGTCACCTCCACTTTCTTCCGCCCGCTATGATCTCTTTTTGGCATTGTAAAAATAAATCAAAAACTTCACAATACACAATTTAGATTGTGGTTATTCGCCTTATAATTTAAAAATATAAATTATTAATTAACAGGCAAAACAAGTATGGATCTCCGTCCAGTTTATAGAGTAAAATTGAGCCACCAAATGACATTTAGTAAATGTAAATACAATCACGCGCTAAGCACGCGCCACTACCATCGAATTGACCAATAAGGGCCGCGCTCTCCACCTGCGGCGATCACGCGTTAGAGTTTGTTTGGATTTGGTCTTAAAAAAAATAACTTCAAGAAGTTTTACATTGTTATTGGTTTCTTATGTGGAAAATTCCAAATAATAAGAAATCAAATTTTTTAGTCTTAGTCAAAATTTTCAATAATGAAAAATGTAATATCTATTATAGATATTAGTATCATAAAATAAAAAATATTAAAAAAATACTCAATTTGTTAAGATTGATGTTATTTTTGACAGAGTATGCTTTATTGTAGCGGATTTGAAAAAAAACAAAAAAAAACCGTTTTTTTTTTAGGTTTTTTTTCATGTTTTTTTTCACATCTGAAAAAAAACCGTTTTTTTACATCTCTATACCTCACCACAAATTTCAATTGACAACCAACTAATCTCCCCCACAAACAATATTAAATATCTCGGAATGATTTTTGACTCTAAACTTAACTTCAATTTTCACACAAAAACCATAAAACAAAAAATAGTCACTAGGGCAAAACATTGAAAACTATCGACCCATATCGTTGATTTCCATTTTCTCCAAAATTATTGAAAAAATACGGACAATCACACTTATAGTAATTCTTCGCTCGTGTCTTGACGTTCGATTTGTTTTTTTTGTCGTCAAATTACGTATGTAAAGCGTTTCTTCCACTTTCTTTTTTCTTCAAGTAAATTTTCCGCAATTTTTGTCATTTTTACATATTATTTGCAGTTAACTTAACTTCTCAGAGCTAACAGGTTAATTAAATTCCAAATTTACACTGCACAGATCAAACAACATGAAAAATATGTTTTAGATAAATTTTAATAAGTTTGTTTTTAATCATGACAACTTCAATTTTTCATAATTTTCAGAAGTGTTTCGCTACTTTAACGAATTTTTCGTTTCAGCTGTCGGGCTATTTACGGTTAAGGGTTTTTTGATGGTTTCCCCCCGTGCTATCGTGTACAGGGAATATGCACAGCTTCTCAAAGTCGGAACACTGCCGCATTACTCTCCAGACAGAAAAGTACATATTATCGCTAAACTAATTTTCGCCAAATTCCAGTCGTGACCGGACCCCCATTGAGACAGAAAGTCTAGAAAGCGGAGTTAAAAAAAATATAATTTTTTCAGTTTTTTTAAGTTTTCTCGAATATTTAAAAGTGTACGCGTCGAAAGGACCTAGGATTCAATTTCAGTGGGTCAAAATACGTTAAAATATATTGGTCCGGACTTTTTTTGTATGCCAGTGTAATATAACTTCGATTATTGTATTATATGAATTAATACTTTAATTTTAGATTTTAATACTCTAAAATGTATAATAAAGTTAACTTATCCACGTAAAAGTGATGAATCGAAAATTTAATATCATTTAATAGAATATAATAAGTATTTTTGAAAATATTAATCTTTGACAGGCGATAACTTCGAAACTATTGGTTTTGAGGTCTTGGCCCCAGAAGATAATTTGTAGAGAATTTAATTTTCTACAAAAGCTATGAGAAGGTTTTTTGGAAAAAAATTTTTTCAATAGCAAAAAATTCAATTGTAATAAAAAAAAAATTCCTGTGTTATTTAAATGGGAAATCGAATTTTTCGATGAGCTAGGCCGCTATTGCACTTAAAATTTTTTGCCCAGCAGCATAATTTTTTATTTCCTACAAACTACAAGGTTTCCTGGTAGGACAGTGAAAAAAAAATATCGCCTGAAAATGAAACACCCTAATGTTCATTGTATAGTGGGAACCATATTAAAGAGCAGTATTCAAGTTTTGAAAGAACATATGACCTAAAAAGAAATTTACATACTTCAACATTACGAAAGGAAGATAATGATAAAACCCAATAATTGATATGCACTTTTCATTGTAGCAGTGATATGTTCGCGAAATGTGAACTTGCTGTCCAACCATACACCAAGGTCTTTGATAGTTTATCTCCTCTCTAGGGGGACGGAGTTTATTTCATAAGGGTATTCGAGGGTTTGCTCTTTTCAAAGGAAAGATACCAACTTTATGAAAAAAAAACAAACGCGATAATTGTCATTGTAGCCAAGCCAATATAAAAAACTCTAGATTAGTTACCATACGTGAATTGAGTGTATTTCTTTAGTAAATGTATGGAGAATGTTTAAAAAATGCTAGACGTTTAGCCTGTGTGTGTCAATTTATTAATGTTGAATCATAAATAATATCATTTTTTATCTGTGAAAGATTATTCCAGGCTCTTTCCTGACACTATAACTTATATAACTTTAAAAAACAAATACAGAACAAACTACCATTGGATTTTAATATTGAAACCAACGTCTTTTTCAAGCAAAAACACACTTGTCAAGTTGATATTGCTTTGAGGTGTTGACAATGACATTTTGGTTAACTTCTGCTACACTTCACAACAATACAATACAATAGGCGTTACGCGGCCACTCTTTTACCTTGTCTAAGGTGTAAACATATTATATTGAAAGATTGCTTACCTCAGTTTCTCCTTCCTCTGATGAAATTACAATACTATCTTTTCCTGCCAAAACCACATCAGGTGCCACCATGTTAAGATAAGATTTTAGTACTTCTGATTCAAACTCTTTTACAAGCATTGTATTAACATTAAGGAACACGTGAACCGTTGGGTTTGCACGACATACATAACAATTTGGATTTGGCTTGACTAGGTCTTTGTCGGCAGCAAGAATAAATTTCGAATGTCGCGATTTGGGGCGGAGGAATATTGTAGGACATTTTTCAATCTCTTCCGCTAAAACTCTAAACGCATGGAGAACCACCAACCCAGCAATCATGGCATTGGCAGTCGCGATTGCAGGAATTATATTTCCTGCTATTGCTAAAAAAAATAATAAAGATTAATGTATACTGGAGTCCCATTGAAATATCAAGGCAATAAAACTATACGATGCTACTGCACTTTAAATATTAATTGTTTATCTAAAAGTCTATAAAAACCGGAAATTTGTAAAAAATTAAGCTCTTGTTATAAACTAGAAAAAAGTATTTTAATTGCTTGACATGCTCTTTAGAATTTCAAATAATATTTATTAACAAATTATTTTGATGAAAAAATGCATTTTACAATTCTGACAAAGTTTTGTTTTTTTTGTTAACAAAGAGTTAAGTTTTTGTTTTTTAATATTTTAAAATAGATACATTTAGTTATTTTTTTTTATTTAAAGTAACTTACTGCAAAAATTTATATACATATATGATGTTCATTCAAATATCACATATTAATATACAGGGTATTTCCACTTAAAATGGGTGATGTAATAGAGGTTGTAGATCTCACACTAAATAAAAATTCTGTTTTTTACAAACCTTATAATCTCCGTTATTAATAGACGAATTTTAAACACAAAAATTGTAGATATTAAACTGAAGATCTGGCCATAAATAATGGAGATAAAAAGGTTTATGTGAAATAACAGAAGGTTGATAATTGGAAAACAGGAGCTTAAATGAAAAATATTTATTTGAAAAAGTTTTGATGAGATCTACAACCTCTATTACATTGTCCATTTTGAGAAGAAACACCCTGTAGTTTTAGTTCCATTTTTTAATTAATAAAAAATTCTTTTTTTAATTGTCCAGAAAAAAGAAGCTTTTTTCTTCAATTTTTCCCATTCTAATCCAAACGGTCAAATCTCTATTTTAAATTATTTTACAATACATACTAATAGTATGATACTATGCATGAAAATTCTAAGGATGTTATATACACACTACAGAAATGCCCTGCTAAAAATTGCTCTGATGTTTTAAACTAAATTAGTTGTTAGCTCAGTAACTGTTGTTAGTTAACAAATAAGTAGAGAGTGCAGATGCTCAAGCACTTTTAAAAGTGTCCATAAATGCTTAAAAATGGCCGAGCATTTAACACTTTAATTATTATACAGTGTGACCCATTTGTTTGCGACTCACCCCTGTAAAATCTTTATTTATTATGCGACTTACCCCTGTAAAATCTTTATTTATTATGCGATTTTAACCGGATTTGTTTTAAAGTGTAGATCTTGATAAACGGTATTTTTAGAGCTTTAAACGCCATATTTGTACAAAATACAAGGCCTCCTATGTCAGTTTTTAAGAGTAAATTTTTAAGAATTCATATTAGCGATTTTTTTAAACAATCATGGTACATGGTACTATTACTATAAGTTTAATTTTATTTCAATGTTTTTTTCATGGATAACTTGACAGAATAAATTTTTGTAGTTATTATTGTGTTGTTATTATTATCGCTAATATGAATTCTTAAAAATTCCGCCCCGGGCCCCCGGTCCTGAAGGGCCCCCAAATCTTAAGTAGTCCCAATTAGCAAATATAGTTCCCAGTCCTTTTTAAATGTCACTGCCTCTAAAGTATAGTTCCTAGACCCACCCTGCCACTTAAAATGTTACTCTATAAGGAATAGTCACTTTGAAGTATATTTCGAGAGTGACTGGTTAGTGCCTACCTACCATAAAAGTGGAAAATAAACACACCGATTGCAAGTGGCAAACATGTAATTTAAAGAAGTGGCTGGAACTACCTGAATCTTCGAATATGACACCATAAAAGACCAAAAACTTTATAGTAACTTTTTAAAGTAGCGGTCACCAACAAGTGCTACCATAATGCATCCATTTAGTTTTTGTTACTTTATAGTAACAATTTAAGTTACGGGGTAGTCGCGGCCACGACACCTGGTTACCTCTAATTTATAGTAGCATTGAAAGTAACAAAATGGTTACTGCGACCTTCCTAGGTCACTATAAAGTAGCCGTCGCTTATCCTTTGCCACTAAAAAGTCGCGGGGATCAAAAATGGCTACTTAATAGTGACCATAACTTAATATACCCTAATAAATGTAATTGCCTCAGATTGCATATATGCATATATGTTACGCACTATAGTGTGCTGCTCTGTTTTGGTGTTTTCTTTTCTTGCTTTTAAGCTTTATTAAAATTCTGTAAAATGCTTAAGGTAAATAAAAAGAAATTTAGATATTCTAGTACTTTCTATCAAAGAATTAAACAAAAGGAATCACTGGGAGCCGAAGCATCAACATCAGAAACAAAAACTACATCTTTCTATAATCGTACTGATGAACATCATAAATCAGGTAGTGACATTTTTAAAGCTGTTTGATTCAAACAGTTTGAAGTACCTATTCACATTCAAAGTTGATGCATGTTCTGACTTCTATACCTGAGTCAAGTGTTCAAATCTCGTTCTGATCGAGGTGCTGATGAATATTATTAATTCTATCTTACGTGAACGTTTTCACCTTAATAGTCTTTAAATATTTTGTAATGAATAGGAATTTAATATAAGAAATTCAAGGTGCTAAATATTTTTAATGGGTCAAGTTTATCAATACTTCCCTGAAGTATTTGCAGTCAAAGTTGATGTATGTTCTGATTTCTACACCTGAGTCAAGCGTTCAAATCTTGGGCTGATGAATGTTATTCATTCTGCCTTACTTGTAGGTATTTGGGCTATGTAAAAATGAATATTGTATGCTCTCTACTTAAGTCGTGGATTCGAAGATTAAGTGGAAGAGAACGTTTCAAGATTTAAGAGAGTAATTAATAAACCTAGAAAAAACGACACGAGACGGAAGTTTTTTTATAATAATTAATTTTTTTGAAAATAAATGAATAATTGTCATGTGATCATAAGAATTGCAATAACCAGTAAAACATTAGGTTTGATAATATTCAATTTGCATTTTACAAAAAATATGATTCTCGCGTCGCCAAACGGGAACTTCAAAGGACAAGGCGGAACGTTATAGTGGCACGCCGCGATCGGTGTAGCATAAACGCTGCAATTAAGTGGCAATTTAGTGGCGCAGGGAACTTTCTTGGAAAAAATCACTTTATGTTCCAAAGAATCGTGGACCATGTAGTTCCCAAAAAGTTATTGTTTCCATAAAGTCGTCTCTGGGTAGTTGCAATTGTCACTTTATCAATCCGAAGATTTTAAAGTTCCAAACGGGTAGGGTTGGCCTAATATATTATTGTTCCCGGTACTTTGTGGAAGCATATGGAACTATAAAGTATTTTTCGGATTAAACGGCCATATTTTTTTCATGACTTTTCAGACGAACAGCCAAATGGCTCAAACATTTTGCGTTTTTAAGCTAAATATACCTAAACTAAAGATTTTTTCCTTAGATATTTTGTTATTTGTGACGGTGGACTAATATTTTAAAGTTTCACGCCAGTTTTAAGTAAATTAATTTTTTTTTAATTACCACATGAGTTTATATTGCAAATAATTTAATAATTTGAAATGTTTTGAAAGGCGCTCGAAAATTTTGTCATATAAACCCACTATTTTATTCAGTAAAGTCGATTGCGTTTTGGAATTGACCCACAAAAGGCGTTAAAATCGCATGATAAATAACAAAAAAATAATAATGGCTTCCATAATTACTTTCCATCATGACATTTATTTTTATGAAGTGTGAAACTGAAGAGGTCGCTGCGAATAAAGTTTAACAGTTTAATGAAAGTTCTACATGTCGGTGGCAAAACACTAGGCTGCCACGAACCCGCGACTAGGCAGCTTCGTAACAGATAAGTCGCATTCAACGGTAGGCTACTTTATAGTGCCATATCGTAGTAACTCTTTTAGTGGCAAAAACTACCCAAGACACTACCCGGCTACTCAAAATCTTTCCCCATTTTGGTCGCAGTTACTTAGCAGCTACGAATATACAACGTAGCCGCCGATGGTCACCGCCCCCTTTGTAGTGGCTTTGATAGTGGCAGTTACGTATCTGCCACCATAAATGCTAGTTGGGGTCTCTCTCAGTCCAAAAAAAACTACATTTAAAATTTAGGGTTTTATAATTTCCGGAAGAATTGAGCCAGCGGAAAAATTGACTTGCAGTTTTCTCATTTCATTCAAAGAGTAATACAAAAAAATGCAAAAGTCAATTTTTCTAAAAATTTACAAATTTTTATAGATATGTAGGTACTATCCGTACACTGATATCGAGAAAAAAGTAAATTTCCGACGCTGAATAAAGTAGCAATCAAGAACTTAACATTAATTTAATTAAAAAAAAACTATCCATTGAATTAAATTAAATTGCTTTAAGAAAATGATATTATTATTATTATTATTATTATTATTATTATTATTCATTATTCTTAATACCATTTTCTTAAATTAATTTAATTCAATGTTTAGTTTTTTTTTAATTAAATTAAGTTTAAGTTGTTGATTGCTACTTTTTTCAAATGTATGTATGTATTTTTCAACAAAAAAAAATCAATTTTTCCCAAAAAGGCATTTTTTTAAGGCCTGTTTTTTCCCAATTTTTTATTTTTTTTTTCGACAATTTAAAACCCTAGTATAGGTATAAATATTTCAGGACACAGCTTTACCATAAAATATAGCTAACTGATAAAAAATACCCCGGAGATTTTAAGTTCCTAAAGAATAACATGCTATGAAAAAACAAAACAAAATATAAAGTTAAAACTAAAAAAGACAGGGAGCCCCTAGCTGCAATCCATTAGGAATTAGAAAAAAGGTTAAAATTACATTAAATAATGGTTAATCTTAAAATGCCATGATGAGTGGGCCCCTTGATTTTTAAAAATTTAAATTATTAACAAGTTCAAATATAAGTATACTTATACGTTCGCTGGAAAAAGCTTGTAATCAATTTTCATATCCCTTATGAGTGTTGCAAAGGACTTGCTAAGAGGATCTACTAACAAATTTAAAATAACAAAACATTAATATTTACAAAACAATCACATTATTTCATAAGCAGACTATGGGCCCCATTTTATTTTACCGCCCCGGGCCCCCGACGGGTTTAGTCCG